CACCATTTTTGGATATATGTATAGACGTATATATTATATTATATTATATATATTGTATTATATTATATTATATTGTATTGTATTATATTATATATATATTTCCATACAACCACAATTAAATAGCCACCTTTCCCCATTTCCCTTGTTTGATTACCGAAGGTACCGGAAGGTGATTCAATTGCAGTAGTACTCATTAAGCACTATTGTGGACCATGAACTACTGATAGTCAAAGAGTGATTGATCAACAATACTCGATTGATCAATATTATGAACAATCAATATTATAAACAATTGCCCTTAAGAATGTTCATTCAGAATCATTTAACCACATTTTATTGATATACACTATATATATATATATGTATATATATATATATTATTATACACTAATTATATATTATTATACACTAATTATACAGATATACACCAATTATATATTATTATAAGATCATTAAGATCCATTTTTCTTGGAAAAACTCCAGGGCATCTCCAACGCCGGCCTTTACGTGCTTCGCCGCGCTTTCGGTCCGCTTCCACGTCGCCCTCCTGGCAAATTGCGATTCGTTGGTGAGTGATAGAATTATGATTCGTTGGTACAGTATCATGTCTATAACGAACATATATAATGTCTATAACTATAGTCATAATATAACATATCATTATATTTAACATATATATATATAATATAATTTCTATAACTATAGTAAACGTAATATTATATATATATATAGAGTACGTGTATCTCTCTCCATCGCATTCCATCGCCATCTGAGAGAGTAGAAGCTGAAGGCGAGCAGGTCGCCCAGCTGAATCAGTCACTAGCTTGTCAGCCGGCATAGTATGTATGCAAATATGTATACATATACATACATAAATATATATATGCGTATATATATATATATACATATTATATGTGTGATTTGGTCTATGGTAGATATATCATCACACAACATACATCATCGTACATTGATACTTAAGAGGGTTATGACCCAACTTATAACTGGGGGCACCACCTTGTACCAATGCGGGCGTATCTGATGTTTATGGCCTAGCCCCCATTCCATCCTCTTGTTAATCATGTCATTTTTCTCAAAATGCTATCTTGTCAGTATACTGTATACCATCTGGTTATTTAACATAGCCATGGAAAATCCCTTATAATCGGAGGTTTTAATGGGAAAATCATCTATAAATGGGCAATTTTCCATGGCTATGTTAAATAACCAGAGGGTATACCTCATGTTCAAACAAATTCATGTGACTCATGTGTGTTTAACCCAAAGGAACTGGGGGGCTATTGTGTTCATCATGGGGGGTATGAACCAACGATTCCTCCATCAAAATTGCAAAAAATGATCCCAACAACCTACCCAGTCGCAAAGTGTAGGTTGGAATTTCACGTGGAAACGAACAATGGCCATTTACGACACGAAAATCATCTTGTGACCTAGTTTTGCATGCAAAACATGGGGAAGCATTGGGAAACCTATGGAATTCGTCTTGGAACTTGGGATAAACTGGGCCCTGATCAATATGGGTGCTGTTTAAAGTAGCGGATGCTCCGAAACAACTAACAACCACTGCTCTTGGAAATCCCGAAAAATGACAGAATTTCCACTGAATTTCCTCCAGTCTTGTCAAACCAACTTGCACCGTTTCCATGTCGAAACCGACCCATTTCCGAGCCAAACTTACCCCTGGCGGTCCATCACCAAGACCCCCTGTTCATCATCATCGTCGGGAGGATTCCTCAGGCTGCACCGCTGTGCTCCATCTGATCTTCTTTCGACCCCAAAAAGAACAAACACACGAATGTGGGTAAAACAATGCCATAAACCACCCATTTGGGAACAGTTCATACCACCTATTTTCGGTGTTTGGGGGGATGGTTTATCATTGCTTGACCCACATTACTAGATCTGGGGTGAGCAGCCAGTGTCTATGACGAGGTGGAAAGGATTCCAGCATAAACTGACCGACGGAGGAAATACCATGTACCTAAACTGGATGTACCCTGATGTTCCCATCATAAGGCCTATGACGGCATTAAAAAAAGGACCCTGGCTCACGTGCGACCGCCACACGCAAAAACCAGGCGGTATACCAGCTAGCCACCTAATCTAATCTAATCTAATCTATCTGTCTTTCTATATCTGGATGTAGGCCAACATTTATCATTTTAACAGATTCATATATATATCAATGAAAATTCCCAGCAGTTCATCGAAACTATAGGATAAACATCCAATCAATGGGACTTTCCCTTGCCAGGTTAAAATTTCTGGAGGCCCCCGGGCCCCCATCCTTTTCTAATGGTTGATTTACCCTGTGGTTATCATAGCCATGGAAAATTGCCCATAGAAATAGATGGTTTACTTATTAAAAATGGTGATTTCCCATGGCGAACTATTAGTCATAACCAGATGGTAGTTCCGCTATCCCAATGATTCACTCTGGCGATCTATATCAACGTTGAGTATACCCACCTGTAAACTAACATAGCTGTGGAAAACCCATCTATCGATCATTTCCTTTTTGGGGTGCCCCACGTTTTTTTCCACATCTATATGTGTTGAACCCAGGGTTTAACATAGCTATGGAAAATGGCCCATAGAAATAGATGATTTATGATGATTTACCTATTAAAAATGGTGATTTCCCATAGCTATGTTAAATAACCACAGGGTAACTCCAACAAGGGCCAACTTACCTATCCTTGGCCCTCCTTTCCCTTCAAGAATCTGGAGGGATTCGGTCACATCAGGATGTTTCTGTGGATGCTGGCAGCAGCTGCTTCCTCGCAGCGAGTTGTTGGAAAAAAACGTAGCATCATTATGGTCAATAGGGTAACAAATGCTAGATATATCATGATGGGATAGCTAAGTTGCTGCTCCAGCTTATTGGCTGAGTCTAAAACTCATATGTATAAATGTATATATAACCTGGTTTTATGGTTGATATATCAAGCTAGTTCGTGGGGCGTACAAAGCAACATAACTGGAGGGAACCACGTTGCAGTACGATGTGAATGATGGGCAAAGCAACCACTTATAGATGTAAGTCCCATCGACCCGTACCACCTCAGGTAGTCACGACACTGTTTATATTATACAATATCACCATATTATATCATGTACTCAAATGCTCTATGTATGGAATATCTAAATAAAATTTACCAACATTTGCCCTAAAATCACACAGCTTTGTAATTTTGTAGGTAAATATGCCATACATGGGGCATATAATGAATATAATGCATGTAAACATGTGTATCTTGCATTCGAACATCACTATAAACGTCCATGCCTGTCAGCAAAATGGAACAAAAAGCCACTTCCTAATCAGTCACCTTCAAGCTGTCGGATTTTGAAGCCTTGTTGGAACATATTTTTTGGACCTTTGGTAGCCTGGGATTCTCTGACGGTCCCGCAAGCGAATACTAAGCGAATATTAGCCCAGTGTAAACCATAATTCCCCAGACTCCAAGCATCCAACAACATCCAAAAAAATCATCATCTCAACCCCCCACCCTCGCTCCTGCCAACCCCATGGCTGTCGCGGCAACCCTGGTGCCAGACCTAAGAGTTGAGCCGCTTGCCGCGAGCCCCGATGAAGATGCGTGAAAACGTCGTGGGAAAATGGACAGCTCTGTGGCTTTTCGCTGGAAAGTTGTGACTCGGCTGGCTGTTTGTTTCTAGCCTGGAGCCCATGGCGCAAAGTTTTCGGCAGCGGCGTCTTTTTGATGAGCCCAAAGCCAAAATTAACAAGGGTAGATGGATGGCCCCACCCCCACTGCTTCTGACTTCTTTCTCCACTAGGCTAACAGTTAGGCGTGTTACCACGATAATTTTCCACCTGCCGAAGAATGATGCTGAAGCCATTGAGTTGCACTTGGGGGTGCAGTTGGGGTTCTTTCTATGTATGTATGCAATTATGGCTATTTACCTATAGCTGCATCCGCATTTTTGCCCCCACATCGCTTGGGTCTTGATTTCCAGTCGTAACCCTTACTGCGTCACTGGGTCTGAATGGAAAATCTACCGGAAAACTTAAAAAATAGCCATCTGGGCGTGCCTGGGAATAAGACTTCCTCCAAAAATCATCTATCTAATCAGCATGTTCCCCACATGCATTTGTGGCCATATCTTGGGGGGGTCCGCATTCAGATTGGCAGCCCACCTAAAAGGCCGAGTTGAACTACCTGAAGCAAAGAACATGTTCTAAGGAACATCTCATGAATTCAAAACATAGAAATACAGTATAATGATTTCTATATATTATATATATATATATGTGTGTGTGTCTGTATGCATGCATGTATGCATGCAGGCAGGCATGGATGTATGTATTTATGTATTTCCGTGTAATTGCTCATATCCAAGCTGTGGAGCCAACAGCAACCCAATTTTTGTCAATTTAGTTTCACCCGCTGAAAACCAGTTCGATACAATTGCCAGATACTAAAGAATATATCTACCTAGTCAGGGGCACCACCTTGTTTAAAAAAACGGTTGGGCCAATCTGCTTTGTTTTCTATGCAATCTGTTGGGGGCACCATCCTCATCACACAAGCATCTTTATATTTTCCGGCCGCTACGTGGCTCCAATTGAACCCCCTGAAACCCCCAAAAAAAGGTCGCCTTTCATGGAACGTTCAACAATTCCATCAAACTTACCAAACAATTCATCACGTGCCTTCACCTCCGCGGCCTGACTCAAAGCACGCCTGGGCGAAACAAAAGACATCGGAGAAGATTTTTGTCGCACAAAATGGAGGTGTAACAAGGGAAAAACTCATAGGAAAGTATAGGAAATTATGGAAGAGTTCACCATAAATGATCACAAATAAAAGTGTTGATGGGAAAACCATCTATAAATGCCGGATTTTCCGGCTAGCCATGTTTGATTACCGGAGGGTAAAGTGAAGAGACACAGAGATTTCGGTCTCCATACATCTGCCGGAGATGATGCCACGCACTTGCCGCACAACACACCCAACTTTTCGCAGGCGCAGTGCCCCCATAGCAGGGACCGCGACGTCAATCGGAAAAGAATGCGTTTTTCCTTGGCTGTGCACCGATGGACCCTGGAAGAAGTGAATCTGGCGCAAGGCTACCAATGTGGGAACAATGATGTGATTAGAAAATACGGGAATTATATGGGATGAACAAAACTCCAACTGGGGATATATGATGGGTCCATCCAGATATCAAGATCAGACAGGAATAGAAATTGTGATCTATTATAATGATTTCTTATGAACTTTCATCCCCTTCCAACATCTTGTGGCATAGGTCAGCTAAAGATCCCACATGGAAACTCAGCCAAGGTGGTCCATGGATCATCACAAACTTGGTCGGCCTGATGGGTTATATAGTGGGAATATCAAGCGAAAATCTATAACCCATTGTATACTTGGGGGATAATAAACTATGGGCACAAAACACATTTTTTTTGGAATACAACGCCAATGATATTTGGGAATTTAAGCCATTTATGGCCGCCTATATTTTTGGGATGTACCATTGGGATGTACCAACAATCATTGGGAAATACCATCTGGTAATCAAACATGGCTAGCTGAAAAATCCCATTTGCTGCAACGATTTTCCCAGCGAACAAACCTGCATAAACGAACGATGATGTGTTGGGTGTCTTAGCCTCTACTGACATATGGTTTATATAACATTACAAGGCTAGTAATAGTTAGTGGTATATTACTATTACTAATAAGTAGAGGCCAAACATCCTTTGAGTGTCAAGGCTCCATTACTAACATTAGCCTCTTAAAAGGACTAAACGTTAGTGCTATAGCAACTCTATTACTATTAGTAGTACCTTCTGGTGAACTAACATCACAAACATAGCTATGGAAAATCATCACCTTTCATAGGTAAATCAACGAACTTTCTATGGGCTATCTTCAGCTATGTCACGTTAGTTTACCGGAGGATATTGTATGGTATTGTTCAGTAAATCGTAGCATTATTCAATGGATTGGTTCAAGGGAAAATTTAACCGCAAAACCCAATAATCTTCATGGGAAAATCGATGGTTTCCGGTTGAGATTTTCCCTTCAATGGATTGGACTTACTATTACTGTAAATGTTATAATTAGTAAATGTTACTATTAGTATTACTCTTATAGTATGATGGTTTATACTATGCTATGTTATTACTATTATTAATAATATTTGATATTACCATTGTTATATATGATTTTGATTATTGGTATATTAGTACTACTAGCGTTGCTATTACAATTATCATTGCAGCACTATTACTATTTTGATCATATTTATTATATAGCACTAAATAAAATATTATTACAGCACTAACTAATTGCTACTATAGTGCTATAACAAATATTATACTATGGTTAGTATATTAGTATTACCCTCTGGTAAACGTTTACATAACTATGGACAATCACCAGTTTTTCATGGAAAAATCCACTATTTCTAGGGCCATGGCTTCAATAGCTATGTTAGTTTACCAGAGGGTATATCCCATTAATATCCCATTAAATCACTATAAAATACCATTAAATCACTATAAAATCCCATGAAATCACTATAAAATCCCATGAAATCACTATAAAATCCCATGAAATCACTATAAAATCCCATGAAATCACTATAAAATCCCATGAAATCACTATAAAATCTCATTCATATCCCATGAATATCCCATTAAATCACTATAAAATCCCATGAAATCACTATAAAATCCCATGAAATCACTATAAAATCCCATGAAATCACTATAAAATCCCATGAAATCACTATAAAATCCCATGAAATCACTATAAAATCCCATGAAATCACTATAAAATTCCATTAAATCACTATAAAATCCCATGAAATCACATGAAATCACTATAAAATCCCATGAAATCACTATAAAATCCCATGAAATCACTATAAAATTCCATGAAATCACTATAAAATCACATGAAATCACTATAAAATCCCATGAAATCACTATAAAATTCCATGAAATCACTATAAAATCCAATGAAATCACTATAAAATCTCATTAATATCCCATGAATATCCCATTAAATCACTATAAAATCCCATGAAATCACTATAAAATCCCATGAAATCACTATAAAATCCCATGAAATCACTATAAAATCCCATGAAATCACTATAAAATCCCATGAAATCACTATAAAATCCCATGAAATCACTATAAAATCCCATGAAATCACTATAAAATCCAATGAAATCACTATAAAATCCCATGAAATCACTATAAAATCCCATTAAATCACTATAAAATCCCATGAAATCACTATAAAATCCCATGAAATCACTATAAAATCCCATGAAATCACTATAAAATCACATGAAATCACTATAAAATCCCATGAAATCACCACATTCTGCCGGGGCTCTGCGTCTTGGGTGCCTTCTTGGCCGCTTCTTGGAGGGCCTTCAGCTCGCCCTCCTCCAAGGACCAGCCGCAGGCGCTCAGGTTCCTCGCCCGTGTTTTTTGAATATCCATGGAAGATATCTATAAAATAGTTCGAATATCTATATATATATATATGTGTGTGTGATACATATACTATATATATATATGTAATACATATAATATATGATACATATATATATAACTATAGTGTATATATAATTATCTATATTGATCTTTCTGTGTCTTATATACATGTAATATATATATATATATATATGCTATATATATATGTTATATGTCATGGGTTATAATGTGGTAGATATAAACGATATAATGTGGTAAACCCAAAAGTGGTCCATTTATCCATTTACCTATCTTTGTCTACTAAAACTGATGATTGTCCACATGGAATATTCCAATCGAATTCTCCAACTGGAATATGTATATCATTATATATATTATATATATACATGGAATATTATCTGGTAGGTGCAATGTGGTAAACCCAAAAAGAGTCACAATCCCCGAGGTTTATGAAATTGGGCATGCGATATAAACCCCCAAATGGTTGGTGAAAATGGATGGTTCATGAAATTGGGTTTACCGCATTACGTTACATTGTTTATCTGGTTGGTGGTTTTAGCCATCTTGAAAAATATGAAAGTCAATGGGAAGGATTATCCCCATGTATTATGGAAAAAAATGGTTGAAACCACCAACCAGTTTATGATGTATGATATACCCTTATACTATGTACGCGTTATTCACCATTGAACTAGCTGGGACGAAAAACAAGTATGTCTAGCGGAATTTGTCATGAGATCATTTTTCCAGTTTATCACAATTGACAATATATCCAATCAAAACATGACTTCCGTTGATATCAGTTTCTACTAGTTGTGCATCATTTCCTACTAATAAAAAAGAAAAGTGATATATGAGTAGACTTGGTAATTTAACATAGCTATGGACAACTACCATTTCTTTCATGTGTAAATCATGGCAAATCATCTATCTAGATGGGTCATCTATACCATAGCTATGCTGGTTTGGTAGAGGGGTAACATGGCTAGGGCAGCTATAGCATTAGGCCATTTGTTTTTTACACATGATGATGTCCCTATCAAAGAAGTGTGATTTTCCATAGCAAACCCTGAAAATAACGGCTTTGCCATGTCTACTCCACACTTCCAACGTTGCGCTTCGAACGTTGCGCACCGAGCATCTCTAACGCCTGACGTCCATTGCGGGCGCCCACGATGGCAGCACCCTGACCCTCGGTCAGCGCGAAGTTCAGCGCCACCTGTTTCGGCGAAGTCATCGGGGATTGTCGAAATTATCGGTTTATGGTTGGAAAAATAATGGAAGATCATGGAACATCCTATGAAAATGGGTTAGGATGTGGTTAGGATACTATGAATATATAGTGGTTATAGTGGTTATAGTGGCTAACATCCTATGAAAATGGGTTAGGATGTGGTTAGGATGTGCTAATATATATATATATATATATATATTTGAATATCCCCGAAATGGCTGGTTTATCATGGAAAATCCTATTCAACTGGGTGTTATATTCCTATAAATGGTGTTTATTTGTTTATTATCCCCCAATGGGTTACCCTCTGGTAAACGGTTCCAGTTTGCGAAGCCATGGGCCATTTACTTCGTTGATTTACCCATGAAAAATGGTGATTTTCCATAGTTTCTGAAGTATGTTTAAAGTTTAGAGGGTATTGAGCCCAGACTGAGGATGATCATTGGATAATTGGAATTCAAAAATAATGGGATCATCAAGGAGGTTTCCGCAAAAACTTGGATGATAACTTGGGGTATTCCGAAATTCCCCCAGTTTTAGGAAAGCACCTTAAAATGTGATGATTTCAAATCATCTTGAGATAAACTGAATTATTCTTTGAAAATGAATATCATCCAGTAAGAAGAGTCGGAATAACATGGGATGTCATCAAAGATCTTGGTTGCATTGTTCTATTCAAACTGCTGGTCTCGGTAAAAAAAACCGAACTCCCAGGCTCATCCTGACAACGATTTGACAAGGTGATGCGATGAAACCTTTGATAGCCTCTGCTAAGTTGGTTTATAAGACAATGAAATCTAGGAATCTAGGATTTCTGCATAGATATATCGGCAGTTGGGGGCAAATAATGATGGATCCAAACTTTGGTGGGTGGTATACACCATTACAGTATATCTTGTATCAACTTATGGCTTATGTGATTTTGACTCTGCACTGGGACATCTTAACTGTGCAAATTTTCAACCCAGGAAAAGATCATGTTGGACGGGATCCCCTCAAATGACAGTCATCTATTGTGAGGTCAATGAAGTCTCTTCTTGTTCATTCACCCTCCAATCAAATCTGGCGATCCACAAAATCCACAGTTGCCCGGCTTGCCCAGCCATCTTTGGCGGAGGATACCAAGATCTACCAAGTGCAGTCCCACAAACGCCACACTTTTCGCCTGCGCCATCGTCTTGTTCCGTGTGGCGCCAATCTCTTGTAGCAAGGAGAGGAGGTTCCTGAAGACTTCCATTGCATTTTTTGCTGCACGTGGCATGGGGGAATAATGGTTTTCTCCCAGTTGAAAAAATGGGAAAAACTACTTGGGCATTATTTTTGCATCATCATCCCAGCCCACTGGATCCCAGATGATCCCAAACACTTCCTGATTAGCCATTGGTTTCAGGAACCGTGCCCAATTTGACCCCAACAAAAACTTACAGCCCAAAAAATGTGGGAAAGGCAAATGCTTCACAGCGTCTGGGTGTCTTTGTTCGACAGTAGAGAGGTGAACAGCAAGGACCGCAGGAAATTGTCTGGCTTGGCACCCTCCTATAGCAGAAGGGTTCATAGAGATGAGAGGATTTCAGGTACCCTTAATCAAGGAATTGTTCTGGTTCCTGCCCCAGGTGGTAGGGCTTATATACCTAGGGGGGTGGCAATATATACCTGGTATATGCCTGGTATATACCCCTCAGTTTGGGTTGAGCATATACCGGCCATATATACAGAGGTTTGCCCGTAACTACTTTTTGCTGATTTCCACAAGCTCCCTCAAGAACTCAAGAACAGGAGCACATTTTTATCCAAACCGCAAAACCGGGAAGAAATTTAAAAGAATGCCAAAAAAACAGCCTCCTCCAAACACAAACACCATAAAAAACCGCCGCCTTGCCCCCACATATTGCTCCTGGTACCGGGGAGCAATATAGACCCCGGCGTATACTGTCCTGAGCAATATATACCAGGCACATACCTGGTATATATTGCTGCTAAACATAGGTGATCAATATGTGATAGGTATATACCCGGTATATACTGGGTAGAGCAATATGCGCCGGGGTATATATTGCCCGCAGTATACGTAAACTACGACAACTGCAGGTAATTTTTCTTTTGAGGAGTGTTTATCGATGGATCAGGTAATTGCTCCACAGTTGCGCCACAGTTGCTGCGAAGTCCAACACACATAGCAAGGTCAGGAAATGTACATTCACCACAAATGGCCAAATTCAGCATTGAAATCACCATATACTGCCTATCAAAGCCAAATTGGCCTACCACCTAGTACCCTAACCAGTAAAAACCGTGGACTTAAGGATCCTTATGGATCCTTGAAACTCAAAAAAACAATCCCAATGTTTGCCGGTTCAATCCCAATGTTGGGGAAACACACCAAAGCCAATATGTGCATTAAAATAAACCCATGCAAAAACCCAAGGACAATTATCTACAAATTCTGGATTCTATCTATGCCAGTGCGGATGGTAATCACGCCAAAGGAATTAATCAATACGGTTTCTGGGGGGGTATTGTCAGAGGGGAAGGGGTTGGACATTATAATGATCCATGTTATAGCAATATGTGTGGCTTTCGAGCCTGGAGATTTATGATGTCAGTGTTTTTTTGGGGGTTCACTGATTTTTGACGTGTGTCTGTGCGTGAGTGTCTTTGTCGCTGTATTTTATGAGTACAACTGCCATTAGACATTCCTGCCATTGTCCTTGACGAAAAGGAAAAAAAATACAGGGAAACTCGGGAAACCCCATTTTCAATGGCCCATTTAGTTCGATGGCTATTTATAGTGGATTTACCCATTAAAAATTGTGATTTTCCATAGTTACGTTAGTTTAGCAGAGGGTACCCATGAAAAATTGTGATGTTCAATGAATAATTTTCTAAAAAAAAAAGCAGAGGTTTCGTGCAATTTTTCAGTGAATAGACCCATTGAAACTATCTGCCGTTGAGCCTCCTGTGAGATACGGGATGCTACGTGGCCAGAGACAATGTTGGGTCATGGGTTCTACGCCCCAAAAATGTGCACTGCATGTAGGATGTAAGCCCAAGCCTGTTCATTTCACCAGCCCTGGTCTGAAGTGTCTGAAATGAAGATTTTTTTGTTAAGCAAGCATTTCTAAAAGGATGACTTCCAAAACTCACCACTGCCCAGGTCCCCGTAATATTCATAATTCTGCCGCCGGCGGCTACTATGTGGGTATCTCCCACTGGTTCTCGCAGTAGGTCCAATTTAAGCTACAGAACGGGTCTCCGCGCCTTGTAACGTCCAGCCAATAGGCCCAAGCACAAGGGGCTGTACGCCACCAACCCTTGGGCGTGGTGCGCCGTGCTATGAAAACTGTCCGCCTGTCATCCAACTACTTATATCTATATCTAAATATATATATATATATATATATATCCTAAACCCTAGTCAAATTGGAGTCATATCATAAACCAACTGAGCTATCCTAAATCAGCTATACAGGTTATATTACGGTTATATGATTATCCCATTTAATCACCATGTTTCTTGAGATTTATCACCATTTTCCTATCAGTTTTCCTATGGTTTCCACCATGGGCACCACCAAGCTGCGCACGCCCAGCTCTTTGCAAACTTCCGCCACGCCCGACTCTCTCTCCACGGACAGCAAGGAGTACTGAACCTTCGCGCACAGTCGCGCACAGTGCGACTGACAGCTGCTCCCCGTTGTCTTGGCGGGAAAAACATATCCAAAAAAGGCTGATTCACTCACATGTTGACGGAAAATTGAACTATCTGCTGCCATGAAAACCTCCTGCCAACATATACCCAAAGAATGGCCATGAAATATTTGTGAAACTTCGTAAGCGCAGGAGGGACCTGTTATCCACAAAGTCACAGGGAACTATAGGTGGTATACCATGGAAGGTGACCTAACCAGCCCACACGTTCAAGATGCCAACATGCAATCAGAAAATGAAAGGAATTGGAGGGCAGTGAAAAAATAGGTTGATAACCCCATCGAGCTATATCCACTAGCAAATGCCAATTAACACAACAGTTACCCTCTGGTAAACTAACATAGCTATAGAAAATGGCCCATAGAAATAGTTGTTTTACCCAGTAAAAATTGTGATTTTCTATAGCAAACTGTTAGTTTACCACAGTGTAGCTACTATAGTATAAACAACTTACCTATCGCTGGGTTACCTGATCCCCACCTGGTTCAGAACCAGCGGCACGGAGCGTGCATCGAAAATCGCTGCCGCACGGCGCAAATTCCTCAGAGGCACCGTAGGCTGAACTTACTCCCGGACAAAAATGATGAGTCATGTGGGTATGGATCAATACCTATTAATACAATTTTTAGGGGGATGAACATCCATTTACCAGCTATTTTGATGTTCACCAGGGGTACAAGGTTTTGACACACTGCCATGTCAGGTTTTGGCATGTCAGGCAACTGAGAATTCGATCTTTAAACGGTTTCAAGAAAATGATGCACCACGACCTTTATGGTTCCTACTGATCCTCACCAACCTGAGACAATGTACGGTGATTAATTATGAACTCCAAGTACCGATGGAAAATGTGTTGGAGTAATTGAAACTACCCATTAGCTGCTTTTTGTTGCCCCTGCCCCAGAAGCATCCACAAAAGAACTAAGTTTGGCCCCAGATCGGACGAATTGAAAAAGGCAAACAACAGTAAACAACTCCTTTCCATCACAAGTCAAAAGGCTCCAACTGCTCCAGGAAAAGGTACGGCCCACACAAAATGTTCTGCAAAACTCATGTTGGTTGATTATCAAGTCTTCCATTCAACATAAAACAACCGGAATGTGTTCATTGGTCTTCAACTCAACAACATGAAACAACTAGATAGAAAAAATTTAATATCATAGCCGGTTGGTGGTTTCAACCCCTCTGAAAAATATGAAAGTCACTTGGATGATGACATTCCCAATATGATGGAAAAGTCATAAAAGCCATGTTCCAAACCACCAAGCAGTTTAACCAGTCATAGAATTTCTCTTAAAAATTCATCTTCCCCCAGCCTGAATTGTTGCCTCTTGGCACCTCGACAAAGGACTTGGGTCCAAAGTTGGACAACCCCACAGCGCGACAGAGCCCCGCGTCGTAGCAGCGACACAGGCCGTCCAACAACATGTCTTCCTAGCACCGAGGCACCGAGCTCGGGGTCAATGTAGAAATGGGTAGATGTTGCTACATGACCCATGGATTTACACTGGGATTCTACATGGTTAAGCTTGTTTACCTATGGAAAATGTGGATTTGATCCATCATGATCCATAGATCTGGATAGTATTGCTGGGTAATCTAGTCATTTAATGGGATTTTTATGGGTTTCTAATGGGATTTTATGGGTCCAATAGTTCACCAGTATAGTCCACCAATATAATCCGCCTATCTTTTTGGGTGTTGTATGTATTATACATACACTATAATTATAGAATATTATATTGTGGGGTAAAGAAAACGAACTACACATGGCCAAGAAGTTCCGTATGTTCCCAATAATTTCGATGATGTCCCGGACGATTTTCTTGGTTCTAAGTTACCCTCTGGCAATTTGTTACATAGCTATTGACAATGGCCATAGAAATAGTTGATTCACCCAGCTATAAAATGGTGATTTTCAATAGCTATGTTAATTTGAAAGAGGGTATGTAGATGCAATTATGTATCCTGATTTTGATACATGTTCCCATAGATTTGCAATAGGAGTGTGCCTTTTTTGCCATCAAACATATATAGGTTTTTTGTCCATCATCCACAGATCATGGATGAATTCGATCCAGAAATTCATCCAGAATAGATTTCATCCGGAATAGTTTTTTTTAAAGTGGATTGTGAAATTCCAGGGAAATTCTTGACAACAGGCCTTCGTACATCCATACAGGATCATAGAGGCATTTGCCCTTCAATCTGCCAGTTTGCCCAGCCCAGAAGGAGCTATTTCTTACTTGATCGATGCATAAATTATGCAATACCCCCTGGTAAATTAACATAGACCCTGAAAATCACCAATTTTCAATGGAAACTAGTCTTCCAACCCCTATCTGCCAGGGTCCATGTTAATTTACCAGAGGGTAGTAAGCAATAGTCAAACTGCACAGAGTGATGCATAGAGACATATAGTTACATAGCGTTGATGATAGCAATAGGGAGATACTTTCCACCCACCTGTTCCAGCTATATACCATCTGGTAAACGAACATAGCTATGGAAAATCGCCACTTATAGATTGTTTACCTTTAAAAAATGGTGGATGTTCCATAGTTCTGTAAATTAGCAGGGGGTACATATCCAACATTTTTTCATATTATTCCATGAGATTAGCAGCTACCCCCATTCTTCCCAGAGTTGTACACATGGGTCCCATGAAAACCTCCAGAGGCAAACAACCAGAGTATTACCCTCTGGTAATTTGTACATGGCTCTTGAAAATGGTCCAATAAATAGGTGATTTACCATGATTTACCTAGTAAAATATGGTGATTTTCCATAGTTTCTTGTATGTTTACCAGAGGGTATTCTGTTTACCATTTGGTTATTTAACATAGCCATGGAAAATCCCCAAAATAAATGGAGGTTTCTAGCTGGGAACATCATCTATTTCGATTAGGGCCATCTATACCATGGCTATGTTAGTCATAACCAGAGGGTATATCCCATGAATATCCCATTGAATCACTATAAAATCCCATTCATATTCCATTAAATCCCATTGAATCACTATAAAATCCCATTAAATCACTATAAAATCCCATTAAATCACTATAAAATCCCATTAAATCACTATAAAATCCCATTAAATCACCATAAAATCCCATTAATATCCCATTGAATCACTATAAAATGCCATTGAATCACTATAAAATCCCATTAATATCCCATTTATAGATGGTTTACCTATTGAAAATCCACATCCCCCAGCCCCTCCTGGAAACCGAAGCCATAGCTCCTGGGGCTCCAATGCATCTGCGCGATATCCACCCGGCCCATGCGGCCCAAGCTGCCTGGCTAAACCAAACCATCAAAATTTGTAAGGTATGAATAAGATAATTACTAATATGTATCTAATATTATGTGTTTATTGAAATTCTGAATGTCATATAACAATAAACATAAGAAAATTCAATATCATGTATATATCCATATTGTCTATGTATATATATATATATGTGTGTGTGTGTGTGTCGATGAGAGATCTGTTGACCCATATAGCAGGGTTCGAGCGGAAAACCACCATCCAGTTTCATTCCTCTGGCTTATCACGGCCGTGTTTGCGTCTCTTTGCCCGTATATTCTGGCCGAACTTGCTCGTTAGGCAAAACATGGTTCTGGCATACAGTATGTACATGCACAAATGTCATGGTACATGCTGGTAAATCCAAATGCCAGCCACGGATTTTAATGATGTTAATTCACCCCAGGGCTGTTGATCCTTGTTCTTACCATATTTTTTGGGTCGCAAAACACATCACTATTCGGGGGGGACCTCCGATTTTATCAACCAGGGTTCATTAGTCTGGGATTCAGTCTGTATATGAAACTTGTTGTTTTTTTTTGAAACTTTATTAAACTTAAAAGGAGGAAAAAAAAAACACATCTGAAAATCTTCTACCAACCCACCTAGTGTGCTGATGTCCACCCTCTGAGCTAAGGCTTGGGTGAAGATCCAAGCCATTCCCAAGCCAGCCATGCCATAGCCTCGCACGGCCTCAACCATGGACTCAGGAGTCAAACGCCAAGGGTAGGCGGCCAACCTCGGAACAAAGGTGGATTTGATCATGGCCATTCTTGGACAGTTATGGCTGGTTGGTGGTTGACCTACCCCATTTTTCCATTTGCAATGCTACACCGTCTTGGTGTTCGGAAAAATCTGAGTTCGTCAATGGGAAGGATGACATCCCATGCATTATGGAAAATAAAAAATGATCCAAACCACCAACCAGCACTTAGTTATGACTGGTTCTAAATGGGATTATACACTCCATAAATGGGGTGACTTAGTACTTATAACTCGTCTTGATATTTTCGGGAGCAAACACAACGATTTTTGGGGGATTGGCTTTCCAATATCTTCAATGTTTGGCTGTCAAGAAGCATCAAATTCTGGCAGTGATGGTGTTGGGATTTTGAGCAGCTTCCAATGCTTATCGCAGGGCAGCTTGGGGAGATGATTTGGGACATTTAATGACCCCAGGGCAGCTGGAAGATGCATCCATGCTTGGATTGTCGCAGCTCAAGCTGCTCAAGCATGCAATCATAGTTGACTACCCACACCCATCAGTTGAAGTGAAGAATGTTTGTTGCTAAATGAAGTGATTTCAGTCATGTAACCTGTATCATAATCTAATTCTCATCAGCATCATCAGCATCATCATCATCATCAGCATCATCATCATCATCATCATCATCATCTGTTTCTTCTTCTTCGCCTCCTCCTAGAGTGTCCACCTACCACCAATTTCCATCAAACAGTCTCGTTTTCAATGCGCCCAGCCGTCAAGACACTTTGTAGCCAAGAGGACGTCGGCGCTGCCCTGCAGCATGGATTTTCCCAGGGGGCCATATTAAACAACCCCAAACAAAATGCAGTTCCAAATGGTGGATGAGTTAAGTGCAAACAACTAACTGGAGGTGCGGAGATGGAAAAAGTGAAATCACATGAAATCACCAAACAAAATTACACAAATCTGAAATCTCAAAATGACCGTGAACCGTGAACATAATCTTTCAAACCTTCCAATGCCAATGGAACCAATGGACTAGTAATTCTTGGCATTCAACAATCCATTCTGGTCAGATCCATTCTGACTCTGGGACCCAAATATTGTGCCTCCATTTTTTAGGAGGAGGAGGTGCCTCCTTTTTTAGGCACCACTCGAACATCACTGTGAGAAGTACAGTTTCATCTCGGATAGCCGATTCATCATCCCGAGTTTTTCTGGGACATACCAAGTTTTGTTCACGATCACACCTTCAAATTTCTTTGAAAACGGGACATGTTATATACGTGCCAGCGAAACATGTTAGGTATTCACTTAGGATATCATATTTTCCCAGCATGGATCCAGAAAAACATATGAAAAATGATGATACATCTGGGTTTATTTATGACATAAAATACCAACCTGAAACGGTTACGCGGTCATTAAAGGGGATAGTTACCCTCTGGAAATTTGTTACATAGCTATTGAAAATGGTGATTTATAGTGGATTTTCCCATTAAAAATGGTGATTTTCCATAGTTATGTTAGTTTACCAGAGGGTACCCCAATCCTAACCATCATTCCTGGTGATTTACCGATGGGAGCCGGGCCCCGGAGCCCCGGAGCCCCGGCGTCAACCTCTTTGACGAATTGACCCAACAGCTCTTCGGCACGACCTGGCGGTAGATATATGGTGCTGCCGCAGCAGCGTGGTCGCGAAGTTGGTTTAGAAAGTCCAATCACTTGGGCTTGTGGTAGATATGTGGTAAAAATATGGCATAATATATGGATGTATATATATATATATGGTAGACATATAATAAATATATTATATCATGATATATCTATAATGAGGATGATGAACCGACGACTCTAACTGGGCTCATGCTATTTTAAGCAACTTAGCTATATTATTTTTCCGGCACCACCTGGCATAGAATTCTGCCAAAACTACCGGTTCACATCAATCCCAGGGTGAGGATGCGAAGCTAAAGTCCAACCTGTCACTTCAGCGCCCCAAAGAGGCTGATGAAACTGTTGAGGAAACTGGTTTGGACAACAATAGGTCCGGGTAAATATGGGTACCCTCTGGTAAACTAACATAACTATGGAAAATCACCATTTTTAATGGGAAAACTCACTATAAATGGCCATGTTCAATAGCTTTTTGTATGTTTACCAGAGGGTAAATTCTGATATTTCATAAAGTTAAGACCATAGAAAAAGGATGATTCCCCGCATCCATTCACCATGCACACCATGATTCCAGTGAGGGCACCGTTAGGCCGTTAGGCCGTTTGGATGAATCAGACATGCTCCACAAGGTGGTGCCCCCCCCAGTTATAAGTTGGTTTATAATCCCATTAACTATAGATATATCTACCATAAGTCCTAGTTATTAGAGTTATTTGCACCAACTGAACGCTATCTTGGGGGCACCACATTGCAGTTGTTGTTGCGAACAGCCCAATGAACAAATTTCACGAAACCACTCCTAGGTGGGCAAGATCCTGTGAGTCAACTCCCATGTTTCGTTGATGACAACAATTCCCAGGGTGAAATCTCTGTTTTACCCTCTGGTAATTTAACATAGCTATGGTTTAAATCACCATTTTGAATGGGAATTTTTTTCAATAGCTACGTTAAATTACCAGAGGGTACTTTCGAGAATCCCTACAGTTTCTTATCAGTTTTGATGCTCAGTTGATGAAACCTCTCCCAGGTGGAGGAAATATGAATGGGCCATGGGTTAAAATGTAAGACCCTGAGAACCAATTGATCCTGTTGAATAATCCCTGAACCTCTTTTATGGCTCAGTTTACACAGCTTAGTCCATGTACTCCATAATTCACCTGGGTAATCCATGAGTCATCCGGAACCCTCTGGTAAATTGACATAGCTATTGAAAATGGCCAATTGCCATTGAAATACTCAATTTACATCAATTTACCCACGAAACATCCACCATATTTGAACCATCTATATTTATCTATATTTGATTTCCTAGAATTTCGCCCGTGTTGTAGATTATTTTTCAGTAAGTCACCATTGAATCACAACTTATTCATACGGACTCAAACAACCGCCCCCCATATGATTCCCACAGTTATGCCCATTTATTTGTTCTAACTGGTTCTAAATGAGATTATACATTCCGTAAACGAGGTGACTTAGTACTTACAACTGGTATTTTGGGCCACTGACAAATACTGACAATTCAAGTACCATCCCGGACCGTCCCTAAGTCATCACCGATTTAGGGCTGGGATGATAGTCCCATTATTTTATAACCACTTATAACCTGGTTGGTGGTGTACCTACCCCTCTGGTTAACATACTGTTAATATTAATGGTTAATATTAATGGTTAATATTAATGGTTATTATATGGTTAATGATGGTTAATAATAACCTGGTTGGTGGTTGAGCCCTACCCCTCTGAAAAATGATGCACTTCGTCAGTTGGGATGATGACATTCCCAACTGAATGGAAAGTAATAAAATTCATGTTCCAAACCACCAACCAGTAATGGGTATGTAAATCTTTAATGGATTGATGACCATTCCCTAAATCCCTAAGTCATCACCATGGATTTATGGGATTATAGTCCCATTACAACCAGTTATAATTTATGCTGGTTGGTTTTTTCAACCCCTCTGAAAAATATGACTTCATCAGTTGGGATGATTCTTCTCAATATGATGGGAAAAATAATATTGATGTTCCAAACCACCAACTAGTATCAATAATGGATTAATATTAGCAGTTACTTATTATAGTCCCAGTTATAGTTCCAGTTATATATTTCCAGTTATGGGATTAGCAGTCCCATCATTTTATACCATCTGGTAAATTAACATAGACCCTGAAAATTGCATTTTTTTTTATAGGAACTAATCTTCCAATCCCTTACCAGAGGGTAATAGCCATTGCCAAGAACTGCAGCTTGCGCCGCCGATGCCGCACCCGCCGCACCCTCCAACTCTCCGGTGCCGTAGCTGTCGCCCGTGTCGAACCAGTTGGCGCCGTTCGCGGTGAAGGTCTGGAAGACGTCTTTCAGCGTGGCGTCCTGAACGGAAAGGTGGGGGGTTCATCGGAAAATGAGGGGGGAATTGGGGAAAATGGTGGAGATTGATGGGAACATGATGGAAGTTCATGGAAAAATGATGGAAATTCATGGGAAATTCATGGAAAATGCTGGGAAAATGATGGAATTTTTTATGGGGAGTTCATGACATTGGACAACTTGGCTGGATGAACATTGGATGCAGAAACAGCGAGATCCACGTCGGAATTCCGCCTGCTTGGTGTCATAGCCCCACAGCAGCTTGTTGCCCCACCTTGAAATCGACCCCGTGGGATTCCATCATGGGCTCAACATGGCGACCCCAGCCATGTTTTTTTCGTGGAACAATGGTGTGGAAATGGGAATGGATCAAAATTATGCCTGAGAAAAAAAGTATATAAATATACTGTGTATATGTATATATGTATATATATATGCCTTAATCATATATATATAATATCATTTCAAAAAAAATACATTCCAATCTGTGGTCCCCTGAAAGACCCTGCAGCCACAGGGACTGCCAGGTGCCAACCCCAAGCTGCGACAGTTTGAAGCCGCCCTTGGTGCTGAGCAGAGGCACCAGCACCTGTAACCAAGGGGCTCCGAAAGAGAATCTGATGCCCGGAACCTCTCCGAAGTATTCAATAAAAATTCTTCAAACTTGGTCAAAATCTGGAAAATCCTTGGATGGTTGCCTACATTTTTGGGGACTTCATATAGGTATTAACTGGTGTGCCCGTATGCCGTATACCTCAAATGGCAATTATAATCAAGAAAGTGGTGATAATGAACCACTGAATTTAGGGTACCTGGTACTCCAAAAAAAATAAAAACATAATGGAACATCTCAGAATACACACACATATATATATATATAGAACTAGATATTATATACAACTATAATATCATCGATATTTATATATATATATATATGATATATGAATGTTATATATATACACATCGTAAATGATGGTAAACCACAGAGGGAACATGGAAAACCCATGAGGTGGATATCTTATGTAAAATCAAACTGTAAATGGGCGATTTCCAGCCAGTCAGATTTAGATCACCGAAGGGTAGCCTGATTCAAGGACACCACCCGAAACCCTGGGTCAACACCACCATAAACCATACTTCATCTGGCAACTTGGAGAAGGATTGTGGGCATCACAGAAGAATCCCCTGTTTTTCGCCACCAGAGCCCCTCTGGCCGCCTCTCCGTTGCAGCTCACCATGGCCACCCCGCCGGCGACCGCAAGCGCTTTCGTCGCGCGGCGGAGAACGCGTCCGCGCGCGCGTTCTTTGCGGTGCCAGGGGTCTTCCCATACTGCCATGACGCTGGGGGAATCGGAAGGTACTTCTAGGTAAACCCAAAAAAAAGAGGGCCAACAAAATAGTTTATAGATATGATTATAGCCATTCCCATATCTATAGTAATCCCCAATTATTTCCATCTATTTGGGATGACTATAGATATGTTTAAATCACCATTGATGATCCTTGAAGTTGGGAACTGGATAGGATAGCAGTTCTCAAGTTATTTCAACTACCATCTGGGTATGACTAACATAGCTATTGAAAATGGCCATTTGTAGTGGATTTACCCATTAAAAATGGTGATTGTCCATAGTTGTGTTAGTTTACCATCTGGTTATGACTAACAGTTCGCCATGGAAAGATCCACCATGCTTTTAATAGGTAAACCATCTATTTCTATGGGCCATGGCTTCCATGGCTATGTTAGTCATAACCAGAGGGTAATTTCAATTCCCCTGAAAAAGACTCGTACACCATTAGACCATGAATCATAACTAGGTTAGCCACCTAAGTAATCCTGTGGCCCAAATGTGGAGATGAGGTGATCTAGGAGGCCCTAAGAATGGTCACGCTTAAAACGGGAGTTGCTGCTGAAGAATAATTGCTATCAACACCTATCAAGTACCATGCTGACTGGATATGTAAGGATATATGTTTAAAAACTCCGGAGACCACACGCTTCTGTGAAACCAAGCTCAGCTTAAAAAAGCACAGCGAGGCGGTCGCAACCAAGCGCTGAAGACTGCTCCAAGCACACATACACGTTTTTTTCCCGCTGCAATATCACCTGGTTTGAGCTTTAGCACCAAAAAAATTGTGCCTTAGACAAAACAAAGGAAAACATTAGAACCCCTAGTTAGGCCCTAGTCAATGATTCTTGGCTCTACCCTCTGGTAATTTAACGTAGCTATTGAAAATGGTGATTTATAGTGGATTTACCCACTAATAATGGTGATTTTCCATAGTTATGTTAGTTTACCAGAGGGTATATGACATGATGAACCATGCGTTTCAGAGGGCTGATTTACCACCGCTTAAAGCGTGCACGTTGCCCCAGCCCAATCTCAGCAACAAGATGCCGCTCAAAAGACGATGAGCCTACAGAAAAACGAGCTTGTGTTGGTTAGTATCCACATCAATTCCTATACCCTCTGGTAAACTAACATAGCTATTGAAAATGACCATTTATAGTGAGTTTTCCCATAAAAAAACGGTCATTTTCAATAGCTATGTTACAGTAGATTACCAGAGGGTAATTCCTCTCAGTTCCCATTCACCTCACATTATGGGTCCATGGTCAAAACCATCCGCCCACGTCCCTACAGTTACAGGTCCCTGGCATGTCGTAGCGGAGCTCCTCCTGGAACCTCACCGAGATGCTGCTGTGGTGCCCTACAAGACTGGGAGATCTTGATGAATGGTGGTGAAGATATTCCATATATTGAGCATATGGGAAGATTAATTCATGTTATTACTTGCTGCATTGTTTGATCATGTTCATGTATTGTTGGTAGTATTCTATGTGTGTGCTCATTGTCATGACAGCAAAACGAATAGCATATGTGGTTTCCCTTTGTGAAATGCCCAAGTTTGTGTGCCATAATTCTCCGTTGTCCAGTTAAATCATGTTAAATCTAGGTACTGCTGCCTGTTGGGTCGGAGACATGCACCCTTTGTACCGAAACGGATCTGGTGGAAACACAACAGAACTGCCAAGCCTGCCGTTTCGCTCAAGGGGCCAACTGGCCAACCGCACAAAAGGAACATACCAGCCATCTATCATCTGTGCTCATCATCACTGCTGGATATATCCATCTTCATCATTCTAAATATCCAGCTAGATTAGATGTACTTCTATCCTAGCTATATGGATGTATGCGCTGGCTAGATCCCGGTGGTAGATACACTACAAAGTGGATCCCCCAAACGATAGCTCAGTAGGTGCAACTCCAACAAGTATGGTTTATGGTACTTATATGTACCTGGTTGGTGGTATACCTACCCCTCTGAAAAATATGACTTCGTCAGTTGGGATGATGACATTCCCAACTGAATGGAAAGTCATAAAATTCATGTTCCAAACCACCAACCAGGTACTTATTACCATAGAGTTCATGGGGTTTGTAGACCAACTTCCAACTGGTGCCAAACTTGTAGGATACGCTTGAGACACGTGGCAGGGTCACCGCAGCCTCAACCGCTTTGCCACAGTCCCTCGGCTGTGAGGGTGCAATGAACAATTAGATGAACTAGTAAGTGGTTATCAGTAGCTCATAGTAATGGGGTATATCTATATCAAGATAAATCTGTTAATCATGGGGATTATATCCTATTTATTTATCTTTCAGATCCTACATGATAGGGTGTATCATACATGGGGGTTCTGAATAATGATGAATAGATCCTGGTATAGTCTCACTGCCATGCCTTGAGAATACAGTTCTTGGTGGTTTCTTTGATCCCTGGGTTTGAAATTACCATCTGGTTATTTAACATAGCCATGGAAAATCCCTTATAAATGGAGGTTTTAATGGGAAAATCATCTATAAATGGGCCATTTTAAATAACAAGATGGTAAATGTGTCCTGGGACAAATGCTAAATCACTAAAATCAACTGATGAGCAATCACCTTTAATCACCAGTATAGTCACCACTAATCACCACATGTATCCCATTTCAAGGTGATGGTCGGATTCATTTCAGCAGACCCGGATGACTCGGATGACTGGGATGACTGGGATGGTCGGCGGCGCTGTTAGCGAAGATCAACATCAGGTTTTCCCATTTATAGATCTGGGTAAGTTATAATAATTCACTAACCTGAATTAAGCCCATTTGGGGATGATTTCCCTTACTAAACATGATTCCCAGTGAGGTCGTAGTGAGGTCGTTATAATTTACCCATTTATAGATGATTTTCCCAGTAAAACCTCCATCTACAAGGGCTTTTCCATAGCTATGTTACATAACCAGATGGTATATCAACAACAGGATTTCCCAATATGAAATATTCCAAACATATTTATTTATTGTCATTGGGAATAATTTATTGATAAAAATGATTATTATTGGGAAACTCTTCGTACAGTAGCTCCAGGCTCTCCATATTCAATTTTGAATAAGGATGCCAGAATCGCTAACCACTGGATATGGACAGAAAATTGACCCAGCATTGACAGAAAGTCCTCTTCTGAAACACCGAAAGACCCAGCGTTTAGACCGTTTAGTATTGGATCATATTGGATCATATTGGATCTATTCATTCTTTTTGGGGGCCCAAAAATCACTTTTTCCTGTGCTAAACGTCGGGAATTTTGGGAATGATCCATACCGGTAATCATCCATTTCATCACTAGTAATGTCATCATCCCAGCAACCCCCAGCAACCCATCGATTTCCTACGTTTCTGAGAAACTTCAGCCTGGACCCACGCTGTGCTCATGTCTGCAGTATATAAATTATACTATAAGAGCCAGTAGCTTATGAAATAATACAGACTCTACTATAGTTACTAAAGCTACTATAGTTACTATAGTTACTATAGTAGAAGGGCCAACCTCAATTTCTGTTGGATCTTTTTGGGTCGAAATCAGCACCATCCTTTTTCGGAGTGGCGAAAAGGGCAACGTGTTGGCCTGGCCACGGAGACACCATGGCTGACTCCCAGCGGCTATCCCATTCGATCTCCATGGCTGTTGTTGAAATTTCATTTACAATGGGGTACTTGGTGGCTCATCCCACTTAGTAAGTGGGTTATAACCCCAATTATAAATGGGATAAGTAGGGTTAATCCATTTATAACTGGGGTTATAACCCAGTTACTAAGTGGGATGAGCCACCAAGTACCATCCTATGATTAAACCATCCTACTAAAAATGTTCATTGTTGAAATTTCATTTTCTGGTAATGATTAACATAGCGAACTAGAAAATCACCATTTTTTTAATAGATAAACATCTCTATCGGCCATTTGGGGGTGAGTCCTCTAAAATAAACTTCATCTGGTTGGTGGTATATCTACCCCTCTGAAAAATATAAGTTCGTCAGTTGGGATGATGATTCTTCCCAAGATATGGAAAAATAAAAGTGATGTTCCAAACCACCAACCAGTCATTTACTCACCATTGAATCACAGTTTTTAATCGCCAGTCATATGAAGTGACGCGTTTGTTCACTACCGGCAGAGGGTAACATGTCCTTTGAAATTCTCATAAAATCCAATTAAATTTCAGTAAATCACCATTGCGGTTGGTTAAATCACAAATGTTCAGAATGTATTTCTTGGAGATGGCCGTACGTGGATAATTTCCAAGGGGTAAACCCCATTCTCGTTGGTTTATATCCCCATGATATCCCCAGTATACACAAATTGCAAATAAGTTTTCAATATTACCCTCTGGTAAACATACAAAAAGCTATGGAAAATCACCATTTATAGTGAGTTTTCCCATGAAAAATGGGTGGATCTTTCCATCGTTATGTGACAGTTTACCAGGCCGGGTATCCCATGAATGTCCCACGAACAGCTGAGATGTGCAAGGTTAGAGGCTACCTACAGTTAAAGCCCTTCACTAGTTATAAATGGTTTTACATGGGGTTGTCATTCCATTAATAGGGTGACTGACTTGTAACCGTAGTGGAAGAGGTTTGTTGTTCTTGGATCTTGTTTTTAAATCCGCTGGTAAACTAACACAACTATGGAAAATCCAACATTTTTCTAGGCAAACCACCATTTTTCATAGGTAAACCACCATTTTTTACAGGTCAACCAGTCGTACCGCTCCACCAAGCGCGAAACCTCAAAGTGGCAGCGGCAGCAGTCGCAGCTGAAGCCCCACTTCGAGGATTCACCTACGGTCATGGTGTCGTCATCAATGGATGCAGTGAATTGAGGGATTTTATGGTATCGTAATGGGCATCAAGGTGGAAATGTCATGGAAATTTATGGGATTTGATGGTGTTTCAATGGGATTTTTCTAGTTGATGTATGATTTTTGTGGTGGAGTTTCTTGTGATTTTTTTTATGGGGGGTTACAGTAAGC